AACCCAGTGAGGAAGAGGACAAATCTTCATATTGTAATGAGAACAAGGGTTACTAAAATTATTATAGATCCATCAACTAAGACAGTAACAGGGGTGCAGTATGTAAGAAATGGTCAAATGTATCAAATTAATGCGAAGAAAGAAGTTATCTGTTCTGCTGGGAGTATTAACACACCTCAAATATTAATGTTATCTGGAATAGGTCCTGCTGAAGAACTGAAATCTTTAGGTATTCCAGTCATTGCAAATCTGCCCGTTGGAAAGTACCTTATGGATCATAATCAGACCCCNATTATTTTAAAAAACTTATTTTGAGAAGATTGGCTAAGTGCTGGGCTGTAAAACTGACAAATTAAAAGAGATAAAAACCATCAGGCAAACTGTGGGCCATGGAAAATCAGAGAATAGTGATGACATGATTTCAAATTGGCCAAACCATATTAATGCACGAGCATTTCTAATTAACAAAACCCATGGAGATGCCCCTTGTGCAGCACCGAAATAACTAGAAAATAATTGGACTGCACAAAACAGTGTGGCTTGCCCATGAATCTCAAAAATTTTATTGGATACTTGAAGCAGATAAATGCATATGGTTTTATTTGATTGCCTTCCATGCGTGGTTTGTTTTGCCATTTAGAATAAATGTATTTATTAGCATGAGTTTGTGTTAATTGATAGGTTTGTAGTGGCTATAGAGCTACCTACAGACTCACCAAATTAGGTTAGTTATTATATCAAATAAAATTCGAGGTGCTGGCAATAGCTCAGTAAGGTGAAAAAGTGCTCAGTTGCTTTAAAGGCCTTAAAAATTTCAGTATTTTTGCCTTACAATGACTTGTCTCATAAAGATTTATAATATCCATAGAAATTAGCTGTGCTCCGTCTTCACAATCCACCATCGAATATAAATAAATTAATTAGCTAAAACTAATAAAATCACAAATGGCATTGTATCATTTTGTAATTCTTATCACTCATATTTTATATTAACCATCCAATTTAGCTTTTAAAAAATCCTTAGTAATACTATAGGCCTATCCCATTAGTTTTATCCATATCCAAAATTCTAGAAAAAACAATTAAAAATAGATTATTGGACTTCTTTAGTGAAAATAGAATATTTGTCCAAAACAGCATGGTTTTCTTCCTGGCAGAACTGTGCAGGCTTTGTTTGATGTTACGAGTTGATTTCACAATCACAATCATTATCAAATGTAATTATGTTATTGAAATGTTTCTGGACATTAAAAAGCTTTCAGCTCTGTTAATTATAAGTTGATGCTAAAAAAAACTTGAGTGTATTCGTATGCCTAATATTTCCCTTAAACTCCTTTAATCATATTTATCGGACAGAACTCTAGTCAAAAAAGTTGGAACAGATTATAGTTCTTTACGCGTTGAATCGAGAGTACCACAAAGTACAGTCTTAGGCCCAATTTTATTTGTTATATATATTAATGATTTTTTAAAAATTAAATTCTCTGGAAAAATATCTCGTTACGCAGATGATACTTGTATCATTTTCTCAGGTGATAATTTAATTAAAACTATAAATAATGATATGAAAATGATTAATTTTTGGTTAAACTCAAACCTTCTATTTTAAACACAAAAAATGTAATTTATTACACTTTTCATTAAAAAAGACAATAAATACTAATAATTTAAAATTTGCATTTCATACTTGTGATGATAATGATGTGTGTCCTTGCTTGCCTATCCATTTTGCTTACAGTGATAGATATCTTGGTGTGACATTGGACTCAAATTTGAGATGTAATTTACATATTGATTCTTTGGTTTCCCGTCTGAGAAAGCTCTTTTATAAATTTAGCATTTTACGCAACTTTATGAAAATTGAACTTTTAAGGTCAATATATTTTTCTCTTACACATCCATAATAGCCTATGGTTTTGTTTCCTCGGGAGGTACTAATAAATGCTACACTAAGTCTCTGGATGTAACGATACTCACTGCTTAAAAATATTTTACATAAACCATATAGATATAAAACGAAAAAATTCTACAATGAATTTAAAGTAATGAATCTATACCATATCTTTCTTTACTATCTTTTTTTTAATGGTCATACAAAAACAGAGGAAGTAAGAAATTGTTCAGATTACAATTTGTCTATAACGTTAATACTTTTATAAATAAATAGTTCTATTTCTTTTAGAACAAATTATGTACACTAAGATAATATTATAATTAACCAAGATAATTNGGACCATGGACAATATGAACTTTTTTGTTCATTTTAGGGTGAAGAATCTACTGGAGAAGTTTGTAGCACGAGTAGCAATTCACCCTGTATACAAAAATAATTTTGTAGCTATAGTTACATCAGTGAATATAACACAAGACACAATTCATTGGCTAATTCACATTTTTACAATGTAAAACTATGCAATATTATAATTTTTCATTAAATATGACATATTTTTTTATAAGCTTTTCCAACATTTTTTATTTTTTAGGTGTTTTATGTGCACACGTACATGTGATAATTTCCTTAATAATTAGTGAAAGAGTAATGTAGTGGATATGTGAGTGTAATGATTAACTAGTAAAAAGGGCTGAGTTGGTGGATGATTGATGTGTGAGTGAGTGAAAGAATGAGTGATAGGTTTTTATTGATTAAAAAATAAAATATTGCACAATATTTAGCTTTCCATTTTCAATCAGCATCAGCCGTCAAGTAGATTAATTAATTTTAGTTTATTAATAATTTTTATTGATATAATGCCATGGATTTTTTTTTAATTCAACATACAAGCTAAATGCTCAGAAAATTTGTGTTTTTTAGATGTAATATCAAACTTTTTTTATAATAGAGGATTATTATTACAAAGAAGGTAAACAATTTATAATTTCAAAAATTTTAAATTGTAGTTAAGATATTTTAAAGCCAAGATTTTTTTTATTGGTTGGTTTTTTTTTCATGCTACAAGTTTATTCTGTATTATGTTTGTTTTTCATTTTGTAAAGATTTATTCTGTTTGTTTCTCTGATGATCTCCAAAAACTCCTGCTGTCTAGAACAAGCTTTGCTTTGTGACAGCAGAACGGGATGTACCAAAATATTATGTTTTGTTCAATTCACTAGTTTCCTGGTCCACTTGATCCTTCCTTATTTGATCAATAATTTTATCTCAACTGAAAACCTTAATTAATTGTAATTATGTTTTGTTATAAATTTATTGTAATGTACATTCTTGCAAATAAAGATTTATTGTATTTAATAGTGAAGCTACAAAATTGATTGAGCCTTGCTAACTCATTTAGTTTTTGGTGGATCAATAAACTTGTGTTAAATTAGAGAAAGAAAGTACCAATAATATTTTATTTTTCAACTTATGCTTGAATTGTGAATTCCTACCTCAAAAACACTGTCTAAAGACCTGGACAAAAATAATTTAATTAAAAATTTCATTAGATTTATTTCAGGATTTACCAGTACATTTTTCAAGAGAAAACCGTATCAAAATTAATTACTTCCCAAAGTAAAATTGAAAAAAAAAAAAGAAGTTATTTCCTTTACGTTGTCTGGTTTTATCGGTATGCTTGAATCCTTAATTATTTCATTAATTCTGTCCAATAAAGGACAAATATACAAACGGCACATTGCATGTCTTTTCAGGTGCTCTCTCCTGTGGGGATAGCACAATGCCATTTCATACATTTAATGGGCAATACCCATGGTTTTATTGTTGCATACGAGTGGAGTGCATAGATCTTCGGAGCACATTCAGATTTTTCATTTGAACAAACCACTCAAATTTTCCTCCCTACTTGTCATAAAATGAACTCGAAGTTAAAACTTTAAAAGAAATTTTATTTATAATAAGAGATACAGAGTATGGCTTTAATAATATGGTAATGTGCTGGGGGTGGGGATTCTAATGGGAGTTTTTTTTTTTTTTAATTAAAAAAGCAATTTGTCAGTAAGAGATGAATTACATCTGGCATAATAAACATAAACACAAAAAAAATTACAGACAATTCAAACAAGAAAATAAACTTAATTTGGCTAATAACATGAATATAGGCTCATCCTTATACTTTTATTCTTCCATTCAAATATGATAGATAAACTAATGCTACATAACAATAATAAAAAACAAAAACACAGTAACACTCCTTACTTTATTACCCCTCAATCTGTATTTCCTTCCATTTCATTTTTCCGCTCCGGCAGCCTCAAAAATTCCTGAAAAAAGAAAGAAATCTTGCGCGCACAACTCTCATTCAAACATTAGCAGGCAAACATTCAATGGTATAACAATTTGTGAAAAGGCCTAAATCTCATTATAAATTCCAATAAATTTGAGAAAGCTGAAAAGTGCTTTTTGAAAGAAACACTGGGGACAACACCCAGTAACTCCTTTAAATCACTCGAAAGGTTGAGCCTTTGCCTAAAGGATTGCAAAGTGGGACAGTCGATCAAAATATGTTTTACTGTCGAATGATACGTTCTCCACTTCGCATACATCGAGGACAAGTTGGAAGGTTGTTGCCTATTAAAAGCCTATTGTGGATTAGCCTGATGTGACCTATTCACAATCTAGAGAGAATCACAAGTTCTTTTCTTCCAAGTTCCTCAGTTGGCCATTTATGTACAACTGGTTTAATTCCTTACATACTATCACTACAGACATATATTATTATTATTTTTACTGTTAGTGTTACTATCTTTTTTTTAATGGTCATACGAAAACACAGGAAGTAAGAAATTGTTCAGATTACAATTTGTCTATAACGTTAATACTTTTATAAATAAATAGTTCTATTTCTTTTAGAACAAATTATGTACACTAAGATAATATTATAATTAACCAAGATAATTATAATATTGTATTTCTTTTAGAAAACAATAAGGACATTCGGATAATATAATTAACAAAGATAATTTAAATTGTCCTTCATTTGGTTTGAATAAATTACATAGTCTGTATTACTGAAAACACTTTTGCTGGGGTGCTAGGGACTAGCACTAATGGAATTAAACACGACCGAATTTCTCACAACTTTCATCGCTGCAGTTTCGACGTATTATCCAGAAGATGTCGATTTGAATCAACGGCCGGTCAACTGGCCACAGGACCAAATCCTTAAGTCGTACGACTTCATTATAATTGGAGCGGGATCTGCTGGTTGGACGATTATCTTCTAATTATTATTTCCCTTTGACAAATGTCTATTATAAATGAATGCTGATTAACAGGATGTGTTCTGGCGAACAGACTGTCAGAGATTTCAAACTGGAAAGTACTTTTGATAGAGGATGGCGGGCAGGAGACAGCCGTATCAGACTCTCCTGCGCTAGCAGATTTCAATCATAATACAGAACTTGACTGGAACTACACTACTGTCAGTCAATCAAGAGCATGTTTAGGTAAGTATGTTTTAAACTAAATTGATTCTACTTATTGCACATATGCATAGGTATACACAGGTAATTTACTACGCCTATAATTTATTTCTACAAATTTGTCATTTGTGATTGGTATAGACAGAATGTCTGAATTTAATTAAACATTATGGACTTATGTATATTGCAAGATAGACCTCTGATTTAATACATTTCCATTCCTAGACCATTTTATTGTGCAAATATGGTAAAGAATATAACATCTCAAAATTAAAACTCAGACTGAACAGAAACGAATGAATGTATGGCAACATTTTTGATATTACAACTAAAAAACACAAATGTTGTAAGCATTTAGCTTGTATGTCAAATTAAAAAAAAAAAAAATTCATGGAATTATATCAATAAAAATTATTAATAAACTAAACTTGATTAATCTACTTGATGGCTGATCTGATTGAAAATGGAAAGCTAAATATTGTGCAATATATTTTTTTTAATCAATAAAAACCCATCACTCATTCTTTCACTCACTCACACATCAATCATCCACCAACTCAGTCCTTTTTACTAGTTAATCATTACACTCACATATCCACTACATTACTCTTTCACTAATTATTAAGTAAATTATCACACATATGATATTTCTTCACTGATGACTCAGTCATAAACTCAATAAATCAATGTAGTAATTATTTATTCATTCATTCAACCAGTACATCAACTGTTACCTTAGGGAATCACTCACAACTTTGCTTGTTTCAGCCAAATTATTTGAGGAGGTGGAAAGAGCCTCACGATANCCGCAAGGATGGGACCAGATCCAAAAACATCTGTTGTAAATTCCAACTTGGCTGTACATGGAGTGAAAAAACTGAGAGTTGTCGATGCATCCATCATGCCTAGAATTGTTCGGGGAAATACAAATGCTCCTACAATCATGATTGCAGAAAAAGCTTCTGATTTAATAAAAAACAATTTCCATAAAAAAAAGAAACTCATAAACTTATTGAATTTGTTGAAATATAGATATACATTATAGAATTGCAAAATAAATCTGGCAAAGTTGTGGTTCTCTTGAATTGTCTGGTAATAAGTAAATATCGGGCACAGCTATCTGCACAGACTCTAGCAGTGCCCCCCCTGCTTACCTTCTCATAGGCCAATAATCCAGGCAATATGAAAAAAAAAAAAAAAAAAGGAAGAAATCATTATTGTCTGGATTCCAGACCAAGTCAGTAGGCAATGATAATGCAGACCAAGCTAGCATACGAATAACAACTATGCTACATGACTGAGAAACTCCTTTGAGCCCAGCCAGAAATAATTAAAAAATTTGTGTTGGAAAGATTGCTGGGTTCTAATGACTGACAAATTAAAAAGCATAAAAAGTGTACGCTACGGTACTTATTTTAGAAGTGTTTATAGACAATAAATATTTAGGGTTGAAAAAAGAACTCACAACACTTTTCTTCTTTTTAGATTACATTTTATTTTAGGGTAATAATTTTCCTCTCTTGCTACAGTTTACTTACTGATCAGCAAGATGGCAGCATCATCAAAATAAAAAAAGACAAATGCCTGAACAAAAAGTTTGGCCAAACCGTGGGTCATGGACAAAATAAACCAACAAATTGGTTGCAATACAAGTTGCACAAGCATCTCCTAATTAACAAAAGCGATGAAGATGCCCCCCTTTTGCAGCGCACAAATAAGTGGAAAAACAATTTGTGCTGCACAAAACAAGATGTGGTTTGTCCATGATTTTCAAAATATATTCTAAAAATTCGGGTAGCAAAAAATTTTGTTGGATACCTGATGTCGATAAATCTAAATGGTTGCTTTGATGGCCAACATTTGGTTTTTTTGCCATGTAATATTCTGTGTTGAACAAATTGTAAAATAATTTTTAATTTAATTTCAATAAAGTTTAGCTGTCATAATTATACAAATTATTTCAATTAATTATAATTTTTATCTAAGGTCTGGTCGAGATGAAAAAAGTTAGTGTAATGAGCAATATTCAAACCCACGACATTTGGCTCAATACACTGTTGTTTTAACCACTTGAGTAGAAGTCATGATAGATCATGTGGTTAAAACAGCAGCGTATTGAGCCAAAGGTCAAGGGTTTGAATATTGCTTGTGACACTAGCTTTTTCTTCTCAACCAAGACCTTCGATAAAAAGAATAATTAATTGAAATAAGATTACAGTTGCTACTAGTAGAAGTATGGATAAATTTTTTTTTCTTTTTTAAATCTGGCAGTTCGTTCTTGAATAATTCTGTTTTATATAGTTCGATGTTTTGATTAAGTTCCTTTAATTTTACAAGAACACTTTTTAAATGTGCTAATTTATTTGAAAATATATATCACCCAAATAGATTAGGACATTAGGCATTTTGGAGAATATTACGTTAATAGCACGCTGAAAGATTGGTGGAGCATTTTTTAAAATCTGAATGACATTCTCAGGAACTCGCAGTGTCCAGATTCGGTGGAGAAAGCAGTTTTAGAAACAGACTCATTGTCCATCTCAATCAGATGAAATCCGAATATGAAAAAATTAAATAAGTGGCTCTTCCTTTTTCCAAAAATATATTTAATGTTGGGGAGAGGAAATTCATCTTCAACCATTTTTTTTTTTAATTTTCAATAACTTCTTCAATTTTTCTTTTGCCAGAGGCATCTTTTTAGGAACTATCCATATAGGAGAATTATGTCATTAAGTGGATGGCTTAATAATCTTATTTTCTAATAGTTTATCGATTTTGATCTGTACAACTTTTCTCAAAGTTTCTGAAGTTTTTCCTTTATACCTGTACATCATCTTTGGTATAGATTTTGTGTTTTAGCAAAATTGTACCACTGAGATGTTCGTGTTCTCTTTTAATAACTTCTGAAAATTGTTTTATTAGATTATTTAATTTGTATTTTCCTTCCTAGTTAATATGATTTGCTGTTAATAAGCTAGGTTTTATCATTTCATTTTTATTAATTTGTTCGATTTTTTTTTAAAATTAGTGTTATATTTCAGAACTTCTACCTCATCTATTTCCTCGGGCATAGGACAAATGGTCGTAAGCTCTTGAGAATGGATGATACATTTACATTTATTTTTATCAAATCTTAATCAATTTCATATTTCCCATTAGGGTTTAATTGTAGCGAGGAACGATTGATGGATTAATAAAATTTCTGAGGGAGTCAGTGTCTTTATGCCATTTTATATTTTTTGTATTTTGGGAGTCATATTTAGGGAAAAGTGGTATTTGATGAAAATTTGATTTTGGGTGAAATTGAGGTTTTAGGAAGGCTTGTGGGACATATGTAGATTGATGTTTTTGATTGTAAGGAAGATCGTAATTTGGTATTTTATAATTTGTTAGTATGGCTATCGCCTGTATATGATTACAGTTAACAGGAATAGAGTCAATAAATACCATGTTTTTATATTTTTTTATGAACATACAAAACAGACCTCACAGTAAGTATTGGCCTCATCAAACGATCCACTGGTTGTTTTCTATCTTTCACAGAAAATGCAGATTTAAGGATCATTGTTAAGAAGTGCACGCATACAGTGGCAAATAGGAACTGATCCCCCATCATCTTAACTATTTAACACTTTGAAGTCAGTAATTCGGTGGAGGGTGAGGCTTGAATGCTTCCAGGCAAAACTCTTTATTCTCTGGAGCGGAGGAAATGGTGTCAATGACTGAAACGTGGATTTTTCAAGGAATGATGGGGATGGAGGCCGAATCGATGGGAAGGAATGATTTTATGTGAATCTAGGAAGAATTTGTCTAAAATATTATTACTTTTATAAATAAATAAAATTATATTTCCTTTAGAACGAAACAAACAAAAATTATGGACACTAAGATAATATTATAATTAACTAAGATAATTATAATATTTATTTCTTTTAGAAAACAATATGCATATTAAGATAATATTATAATTAACTAAGATAATTTAAATAGACCTTCTTTTGTTTTGAATAAATTACATAGTCTGCATTACTGTCCTAGGAACTAGCAGTAATGGAATTAAACACAACCGAATTTCTCACAACTTTCATTGCTGCAGTTTCGACGTATTATCCAGAAGATGTCGATTTGAATCAAAGGCCCATCAACTGGCCACAGGACCAAATCCTTAACTCGTACGACTTCATCATAATTGGAGCGGGATCTGCTGGTTGGACGATTATGTTCTAATTATTATTTCTCTTTGACAAATGACTATTGTAATGAATGCTGATTAACAGGATGCGTTCTGGCGAACAGACTGTCAGAGATTTCAAACTGGAAAGTACTTTTAATAGAGGATGGCGGGCAGGAGACAGCCGTATCCGACTCTCCTACACTAGCAGCTTACGTTTATAACACTGAACTAGACTGGAACTACACTACTGTCAGACAATCTAGGGCATGTTTAGGTAAGTATGTTTTAAACTAAACTGATTATACTTATTGCACACATGTATATACATATTTTACTATGCATATAATTTATTTCTGCAAATCTATTGTTAACTGTGGTCGGCATAGATTGACTGAATTTAATTAAACATATGGAATTACGTATACTTAAGATAAACCTCAGAATTAAAACATTTCTATTCCTAGTCCATTGTATTGTGCAAATATGTTTAAGAAAATAACATCACAAAATTGAAACTGAACTGAAATGAAGATGTTCTGTCATGATGTTGCTTGCAATGAATGTAAGGAGGGTAACATTTACTTTTGATATTACAAATAAAAAACACAAATTTTGTAAGCATTTAGCTTGTATGTCAAATTTAAAAAAATGTTCATGTCATTGTGTCAATAATAATTGTTAATAAACTAAAATTGATTAATCCACTTGACAACTGATGCTGATTAAAAATGCAAAACTAAACTATTATACCATTTATAAATAATTTTACATTAGCCAATTACACATTTTGATGAAGTATATTCCACTCATTCACACACATATGTCAATTTTATTGGACACTATAAATCTATATATATATAGTTGTATTATATTGGTACATTATATTATATTGGCATTTCTAAATCTTGGTGTTTTTGAGGATCCCATGTAGGTTGGTTAAGGGTATTTTTTCCTCCTCGGCCTTCTTCCAGATGTCCTGTCGTGCATGATCTAGCTGAGGGCATTCCAGGAAGACATGGTTTGAATCTTCGATAACTGCTCTCTGACACCGCCCACAGTGAGGTGACTCTTTTACGCCTATGCAGTGTAGGTGTGATGCCAGTCGATGATGGTTGAGTCGCAGATTGATCAACGTGATGTAGAATTTCCTTTTCTCTTTGAATGAATTGTATCATGCTCTTACAGGGACATGAGGGATTAGGGTTCCATAATACTTTCCTTTCTCATGTAGGGATGCGCCATAATATTCCACGAAGAGAAGACATTTTTTTTAAATTTGGGCTACTATGTCTAAAGTCGTAAACACGTGATTTCTACTTTCACCCGTTGAAGTCGCCTCCTTGGTTAATCGGTCCACCTTTTCGTTTCCGTATACTCCGGCCCTTTGGTCCATATAATCGCGGCTGAGCCGCGTTTTTGCAACTCAAATATTAGGGATCTGATTGTGTATATCATTTTTGGGCTTTTGGAGCTAGATGCGTTAATGCTTAGCACTGAACTTAGGGAATCTGAGATGACTACTATCCTGGGCATCATTTCATGCTTGGCATATAGCAGTGTCTCTTTATTGCCAGTAGCTCTGCCGAGTGTACGGAGGCTTTCTCGCTGAGATGGAATTTGGCATATCGTTTGCTCGTTGTTTCAAGAAAGGCTGTTCCTACTCCAGTTTCGCTTTTGGATTCATCGGTGTGTATATATATATGTGTGTGATCTGGGAACACTGATGTAAGTCTTGCGTGAAATACCTGGTGGTATCCCACAGCGTTTTGGTGGCCATGATGGATAAAATTAGAGAATATATTCAACTTCCTGATGGTTTTAAAATAATCGACATTATATGTTCATACACCCTTGGATTTTTCCCTGTTCCGGTTGCATTGAGGCGTGAGCTCACAGTATAGCGATACTAAGAGAGGAGTTTTTGTTTCCCAGAATGTTTTGGTCAATGAGTGTTCTGCCAACGTTGAGATCTTGGCCAGTAAGGGGTTGTTTGTCAACATCTTTTCTGCAACGAACTTTCTGGCCAACTTTTTCCTCCTAATATTAAGTGGAGGTTCTTTTGCTTCAAGTAATAAGGCGTTAGTCGGGGAAGGTGTCAAAGCACCCATACTTGCACGTAGGGACTTGTATTGTGTTCTATCCAGCTTTAAAAGATGCGATTTGGCGACATCGTTATAAAAGAGACTTCTGTAGTCCAATTGGGACAGCACTAGGGTTCGGCGTAATAGAGGGGATGTTTTGATGTCCGCCCCATAGTTATAGTGGTTGATGCATCTTATGATGTCAATTACTTTTTCACAACTGGCTACTGCGTTGTTAATTTGTTGTCTCCATAGGAGTTTATGGTCAAGATGCACGCCAAGTAGTTTGATACATCATTGGGGGCCAAAGTCTGGTTCCCTAGTCTGTAAATCTCCGGTTGAGTGTATTTGAGGCGTCTCGAGAACGTAATAGCGGAGCATTTCTCTCCAGAGATGGTTAGTCCGTGATTTTTGGCCCAAGCCTGGAGGTTCTCTAAGGCCTTATTCATACTTTTGGTGGCTCATTCAGGTGAACGTCCTTCGCAGTAGAGTTATATCCTCGGCAAAGAATATCTTTTTAGTTTCATTTCCAATTGAGTCGCCCAAATCCGCAGTATATATGTTGAATAGGATCGGGGTGAGGGCAGAGCCTTGTGGGAGACCTGATGAGGTATTCTGTGGCCCCTGGAGTGTTCCCTTTGTCTTAACGTATACTTGCCTGTCTAGGGGGAGATGAGATATATTTCTGTCTAGTCTGTAGGCTACCCCAAGGAGGACCATTTTGTTGACTAAGATGTCGATGCATACATTGTTGTAGCAGTTCTGTAAATCGATGAGGGTGCACAGGAGAAAATTATTATTCGAGAAGTTAATTTGTACGTCTGTGATAAGGTTTGCTAGAACGTCCAGAGTGCTTCATCCTTTCTGAAAGCTGTATTGGTGATTGGGTAGGATGTGGTTAGGCTCAAGGAACCAATCAAGTCTGGCTTTTATTAGTCTTTCAAAGGTTTTCGCTAAGCATGACGATAAGATGATGGGTCAATATGATTTATACGTGCGTGGGTTTTTACCCGGTTTTAAAATCCATAAATTATATTGTTTTATTTTTTAATCAATAAAAACACATCACGCATTCTTTCACTCACTCGCACATCTATCATCCACTAACTATCTTCTTAGTAGTTAACCATTACACTCACATATTCACTTCATTACTCTTTCACTAATTATTAAGTAAATTATCACATGTATGTATGCATATTTGAATGTTATTTCTTCACTCATGCTAGTGTAAATAATCATGAATTCATTTAATTATTGTTATTTAATTATCATCAATTGAATGATTAATTTAATCATTAACTCAATCAGTTTTTCACTTATTTACTTGACCCATCCATCAATCATATCATTAAATCTCTTACACCTTCGCTCACACTTCCACTCTCCAATATGATATATTTTATATTGTCCCCCTTTACATTTTAGAACTATGTACTCTTGAAATAACCTCAATTGTACAAATAATGAATAAGAACCAAATAACTTAAGCAACTGCTCATGCTCAAGATGGAAGATCTGCATTGGTTTTTATAATCCAAAATAGCTTCATTTCTTAAAGTTATAATTCAAGCTTTCTACAGTTGATGAAAGAAAAAATAAATAAACCAATTTGTGCAAGAAACAATTGTAGATGAAACTAAAATAATATTTAAATTGATTTATAATTTTTATGTAAAGTATGGTTGAGATGAAAAATTAGTGTCACGAGTGGGACTCGAACTCTGGATCTATGCCCCGATTAACTAGGACCAACTAAAACATATAGACTAACTCAAACAACATACAGATAGCTCAAATAATATATTAAAAGTATTAAGTTAATACTTATACCTAGGATTTTAATCTGTTTTATTGATAATTATGCAATTTATATGTAACTTTTTATCTGAATTGGTTTTAGCTCGAAACGGTAACTGTGAGTATCCAAGAGGTCATGTGATGGGAGGTTCGAGCACAATAAACGGAATGATATATGTGAGAGGAAGTTCTTTGGACTATGATGAATGGGAAGCCGACGGAAACCCAGGTTGGGGTTATAAGGATGTCTTGCCGTATTTCATCAAGTCTGAGACTATCAATATTCCCGAGCTCGTCGACTCTCCATATCATGGAAAGAACGGTCCGATGTCAGTGCAGCTGGCGTACTATGAGACGCCATTGTCGCAAATTTGGATCAAAGCTGCAGAAGAATTTGGCCTTCCTTATGGGGACTACAACGGGGAGAATCAGAACAGGGTGATGAGGGTGCAGTCTGATATTTTGGGCCCATCAAGACAGAGTACTTCAAAAGGGTACCTAAACCCAGTGAGGAACAGGAAAAATCTTCATATTGTAATGAGATCAAGGGTTACTAAAATTATTATAGATCCAACAACTAAGACAGCAACAGGTGTGCAGTATGTAAGAAATGGGCAAATGTATCAAATTAATGCGAAGAAAGAAGTTATCTGTTCTGCTGGGAGTATTAACACACCTCAAATATTAATGTTATCTGGAATAGGTCCTGCTGAAGAACTGAAATCATTAGGTANCTCTGCCTTATTTGGTTAGTAATTATGTCTTTCATTTTTGTTGTCCAGTTTTTACTCTTTAATTGTATTTTTATATTTACCATTTATATTATTACCATGTATATACACCCTTATTCTTTTTATATATATTATTTGTATTTTTACATATATTATTTATATTTTTTCTTATTGTAAAATGTCTTTTTTATAGTGGATTTCGATCCGTAAATAAATAAATAAACGGAAAACAATTTGCACTGCACAGGACATGGTGTGGCTTGCCCATGAATCTGAAAGATGTTGGAAACTCCACTATTTTTCGTGGTCCACTTGACGATTAATATCATTCAATTAATTAATGTGTTTAGTCGAGATAAAAAAGGCAGTGTCACGAGCGGGATTCGAACCCACGAACTTCGGCTTGATACGCTGCTACTCTACCACTACCACGTCATGATAGCTCATGTGGTAGAGTAGTGGCGCACAGGACAAGGTGTGGCTTGTCCATGAATCTCAAAGATGTTCTAAAAATTGAGGCAGCAAAAATTTGTACGGATACATGAAGCAAATAAATGCAAATGGTTGCATTTAATGGCCTTACATGCAGTTTTTTTTATCATCTAGAATGAATGTATTTATTAGCATGAATTTTTGCATTAACCCCCACATGTTAATATTCACCATCCAATTTATTAGTGAAGCTACAAAATTGATTAAACCTAGCTGTCTGATTTAGTTTTTGGTGTATCAATCAACTTTTGTTAAATTAGAGAAAGAAAGTACCAATAATATTTTATTTTTCAACTTATGCTTGAATTGTAAATTCCTTCCTCAAAAATACTGTCTAAAGACCTGGACAAAAATAATTGTATAAAAATTTTTATTGGATTTATTTTAGGATGTCCCAGAGTAGTTTTAAAGTGAAAAACGTATTAAAATTACTCCCCAAAGTATGAATGAAAAAAAAATTGTTTCTATTTCCTTTATAGTTGTCTGGTTTTATCAGTAACGTTAACTATACCTTTAATCCTATCCAGTAAGGGACAAATATACATGAATGACATGTTGCAAGTCTTTTTTTAGGGCTCACTCCGTAAGGGTATTAACATACATTTAATGGGCAATACCCATGATTTTATTGTTGCATACAAGTGGAGTGCATTCATCTTCGGAGCACGTTCTGATTTTTCATTTGAACAAACCACTCTAATTTTCCTCCCTATTTGGTGTAAAATTTCGATGACTTGGATGTTAAAGTTAAATGAACGCAAAGTTGAAACATAGAAAAGAAATTTTATTTAAAATAAGAGATACAAAGTACGGTTTTAACAACACAGTAATGTTCTGGGCAGGGATTCTAGTTGGAGGTTTTTTAAATTTATTTATGTTTTAACAATTTGTCAATAAGTTATAAATTACAACTGATGCAATGCAGCGGATTCTGATCATTATTATTGTAACTCCTTCTCCGCAAGATGAAGGCTGTCTTCAGCATTCTATTGGAAATGTGGGATCCAAGTGTTGAGAACTGCTGGCTGTTGTTTACCATGTAATATTCTGTGTTGCAAAAATATGCTAGAAATGAGGTTGATATGAATAGAACAATGCGCTTTACCGATTTACCATAATATCTCAGGATGTTTTGGTATTAGTGATAAGTGATTTTTTTTTTTTTTTCAATTAATTCATTAAATTCTGCAGGAGATATTATGCTTGAATAAATTACATTTGTTTTCGGCTATCAGTTACACAAGATTGACAGTGATGTAAATAGTGTTGTGTATTGTCAATGTCAATTTAATTCTACCCTGTTGGATGTGTTTTCAAAATAAATAATTTTGTAAGTTAATATTACTTTCTCAGATTATGCCGATATCTTTATTAAATTTGTTGATTAATTTCTTAGTTAATGATAACTGGTTTCCAACGTTATGTTCTATATGATATTCATTAGTGTGAAATGTGTTTATTATGCTGGCTTATCTTTGTCTCTGTTGTCTATATTTTCAGTAAAGAAGAGATTGCAGTTCCCGTGCCATTAATTAAACACCTTTTAAATTGTGAATTGTTATTTTCTTCTTTCAAGTGAATGTGGCTCAGTTTATTTTGTGAGTATTCTAAGAGTAATTTCAGAGTATGAAATTGCTGTATGTCTCCGTTTTGTGGAGTTTTGTCTCTGTAATATGATGTGGATATTGCCCAATTCTGCTTGTAACAAGGTGATATTTATGTACATGTAGATGTAGGTGTAAATATTATTTATATTATGCTATGAGAATATTACGTTCATAGCGCATTGAAAGGTTGATAGAAGGAAGAAATATATATTAATACGTTTATAAATAAAGTTATTTTTCTTTAGAACAAATTACGTACACTAAGATAATATTATAATTAACAAAGATAATTATAATATTTATTTGTTTTAGAAAACAATATGCATATTAGATAATATTATAATTAACTAAGATAATTTAAATAGACCTTCTTTTGTTTTGAATAAATTACATAGTCTGCATTACTGTCCTAGGGACTAGCAGTAATGGAATTAAACACGACCGAATTTTTCACAACTTTCATCGCTGCAGTTTCGACGTATTATCCAGAAGATGTCGATTTGAATCGACGGCCCGTCAACTGGCCACAGGACCAAATCCTTGACTCGTATGATTTCATCATAATTGGAGCGGGATCTGCTGGTTGGATGATTATCTTCTAATTATTATTTCCCTTTGACAAATGTCTATTATAAATGAATGCTGATTAACAGGATGTGTTCTGGCGAACAGACTGTCAGAGATTTCAAACTGGAAAGTACTTTTGATAGAGGATGGCGGGCAGGAGACAGCCGTATCAGACTCTCCTGCGCTAGCAGATTTCAATCATAATACAGAACTTGACTGGAACTACACTACTGTCAGTCAATCAAGAGCATGTTTAGGTAAGTATGTTTTAAACTAAATTGATTCTACTTATTGCACATATGCATAGGTTTACACAGGTAATTTACTACGCCTATAATTTATTTCTACAAATTTGTCATTTGTGATCAGTATAGACAGAATGTCTGAATTTAATTAAACATTATGGACTTATGTATATTGCAAGATAGACCTCTGATTTAATACATTTCCATTCCTAGACCATTTTATTGTGCAAATATGGTAAAGAATATAACATCTCAAAATTAAAACTCAGACTGAACAGAAACGAATGAATGTAGGGCAACATTTTTGATATTACAACTAAAAAACACAAATTTTGTAAGCATTTAGCTTGTATGTCAAATTTAAAAAAAAATTCATGGAATTATATAAAAATTATTAATGAACTAAAATTGATTAATCTACTTGATGCTGATTGAAAATGGAAAGCTAAATATTGTGCAATATTTTTTTTTTTAATCAATAAAAACCCACCACTCATTCTTTCACTCACTCACACATCAATCATCCACCAACTCAGCCCGTTTTACTAGTTAATCATTACACTCGCATATCCAATACATTATTACTCTTTCACTAATTATTAAGTAAATTATCACACATATGATAATTCTTCACTGATGACAACTCAGTCATAAACTCAATAAATCAATGTAGTAATTATTTATTCATTCATTCAACCAGGACATCAACTGTTACCTTAGGGAATCACTCACAACTTTGCTCGTTTCAGTCAAATTATTTGAGAAGGTGGAAAGAGCCTCACAATAAATCTACCTAAAAAATAAAAAAATGGAAAAGCTTACAAAGTTTTTAAAATCCAAAATAACTTAATTTCTAAAAGTTATATTTCAAGCTTTCTACAGTTGACAAAAAAAAAATTAATTAATATAAAATAAATTTTAAATAAATATAAAATAAAATAACTATGAATAAAAAGTGAGGAATTATTGTTTTAGGAACAACCAAATTGTGCAAGAAACAATTGTACTTGAAACTAAAATATTATTTTATTTGATTTATAATTTTTATGCAAAGTGTGGTTGAGATGAAAAATTAGTGTCACGAGTGGGACTCGCACCTATGACTTCTGGGTCTCGGTTAACTTGGACCCTCTAAAAGATATAGATTATTAAAATATTAAAAGGATTAAGTTAATACTTATAGGCTAGGCTTTCTATCTGTTTTAATAAAATTGTTAACTTTATAAACTTGAAGCAATTTATATATACTTTTTTTAAAAATTGGTTTTAGCTCAAGATGGTAACTGTGAGTATCCAAGAGGTCATGTGATGGGCGGTTCGAGCACGATAAATGGAATGATGTATGTTAGAGGCAGTTCTTTTGACTATGACGAATGGGAAGCCGATGGAAACCCAGGTTGGGGATATAAGGATGTTTTGCCGTATTTCATCAAGTCTGAGACAATCAATATTCCCGAGCTCGTCGACTCTCCATATCATGGAAAAAACGGTCCAATGTCAGTGCAGCTGCCGTACTATAAGACGCCATTGTCACAAATTTCGATCACAGCCGCAGAAGAATTTGGCATTCCTTATGGAGACTACAACGGGGAGAATCAGAACAGGGTGATGAGCGCGCAAGCTGATATTTTGGGCCCATCAAGACAGAGTACTTCAAAAGGGTACCTAAACCCAGTGAGGAACAGGAAAAATCTTCATATTGTAATGAGAACAAGGGTTACTAAAATTATTATAGATCCAACAACTAAGACAGCAACAGGTGTGCAGTATGTAAGAAATGGGCAAATCTATCAAATTAATGCGAAGAAAGAAGTTATCTGTTCTGCTGGGAGTATTAACACACCTCAAATATTAATGTTATCTGGAATAGGTCCTGCTGAAGAACTGAAATCGTTAGGTATTCCAGTCATTGCAAATCTGCCCGTTGGAAAGTACCTTATGGATCATAATCAAACCCCTCTAGTATTTTTGATTAATCAAAATATTACTATTACAGCAAGTGTTTATAAGACTGAAGAATCAATCTTGGAGTATTCAAAATACAGACAAGGCCCTTTGACCACAAGCGGTTTTGATGCAGCTGGTTTTTACAACACTGCCAAAGACCTACAGAGTCCATCTGATCTAGCTTTCCTATTTTCTAGCTATCTCCCAAAATCAAACAATCAAAATCTTCCCCTGGTAATGGCCCATGTTTTCAACACAAAGCCACTAAGCGTTGGGAGCGTGACGATAAATTCAACAGATCCTTTTGACGGACCTCTAGTTGATCCAAATTATTTCGGAAACCTGAAAGATTTTCAGGTGACGCTGAAAGGTTTGAAAATGATTTTGGAAATTACCAATACAACAGCTATGAGGCAGCTGTCACCCCAATTGTACAAGGACTTCTATCCAAACTGCAAATCTATAGATGACATGAACCAATTGTTAGTGTGCATCATCCAAGAATATTCTCTTCCAATATACCACCCTGTTGGAACCGCAAGGATGGGACCAGATCCAAAAACATCTGTTATAAATTCCAACTTGGCTGTACATGGAGTGAAAAAACTGAGAGTTGTCGATGCATCCATCATGCCTAGAATTGTTCGGGGAAATACAAATGCTCCTACAATCATGATTGCAGAAAAGGCTTCTGATTTAATAAAAATCAATTTCCTAAAAAAAAAGAAACTCATAAACTTATTGAATTTGTTGAAATATAGATATATATTATAGAATTGCAAAGTGTATTGTCTCAAATTTTTATCCTCTAGTAATAAGTACTAAGTACAATATTATGCAGCAACAATTCTGCATGACACAGAAACTCCTGTAAGTCAGTCCAGCCAAAATTATTAAACAAATTTATGTTGGGAAGGTAAAACTCCTGACCTGTAATGACTAACAAATTAAAAGAAATAAAATGTTCAGGCAAACCATGGGCCATGTAGTTTTTGGACAAAAACAAAGGACAGCGATGACCTGATTTTGAATTGGCCAAACCGTACTACTTCATGAGCATCTCCTAACTAATAAAAGCCTTGGAGATTTCTTATGTGTAGCACCCAAAAACTGGAAAAACAATTGGCACTGCACAGAACAAGGTGTGGCTTGCCCATGAATCTCAAAGATGTTCTAAAAATTGAGGCAGCAAAAATTTGAACGGATGCATGAAGCAAATAAATGCAAATGGTTGCATTTGATGGCCTTACACACAGTTTTTTTTACCATCTAGAATGAATGTATTTATTAGCAAGAATTTTTGCGTTAACATGTGGGAATATAGAGTAGAGACTCATCAAAGTAGGTTAGTTATTTTATTTAAGTGGAGAAAATTCGAAGTGCTGGAGCTATGGCAGCTAGCCAGTAAGGTGAAAAAGTGCTTCGTTAAAGAATTTGCCTTAAAGGCCTAAAAAATCTTAAAATTTCAATATTTTTCCCTTACTTTTCTCATGAAGATTTACAATATCCACAGAAATTGTCTGTGTTCAGTCTTCATATTCCACCATCGAATATAAATTAATTAATTGAATAAAACTAATAAAATCACAAATGTCATTGTATCATTTTGTAATTCTTATCACTAATATTTATATTCACCATCCAATTGATGCTACAAAATTGATTAAACCTAGCTGACTGATTTAGTTTTTGGTGAATCAATAAACGTGATTAAATAAGAGAAAGAAAGTACCAATAATATTTTAATTTTCAACTTATGCTTGAATCATAAATTTCTACCTCAAAAATACTGTCTAAAGACCTGGACAAATATAATTGAATTAAAATTTCATCGGATTTGTTTTAGGATATCCCAGTGTAGTTTTAAAGTGAAAAACGTATTAAAATTACTCCCCAAGGTAAGAATGAAAAAAAAAATTGTTTCTATTTCCTTTATAGTTGTCTGGTTTTATCAGTAACGTTAACTATACCTTTAATCCTATCCAATAAGGGACAAATATACATGAATGACATGTTGCAAGTCTTTTTTAGGGCTCACTCCGTAAGGGTATTAACATACATTTAATGGGCAATACCCATGATTTTATTGTTGCATACAAGTGGAGTGCATTCATCTATAGAGCATGTTCAGATTTTTCATTTTTTTTTTAGCCTTTTCATATGAACTTTAACACTTTAATTTTCCTCCCTATTTGTCGTAAAATTAACTCGAAGTTCAAACTTAAAAAAGAAATTTGATTTATAATAAGAGATACAGAGTATGGTTTTAATAATGCAGTAATGTGTGTTGTAAAGTTTAGTGTAATCTTTAACCACATTTCTGTAATCACCTGTTAGATCTAAAAATTGTATAATTTGTTTAGTTCCCTTTGGAATAGGGAAATTTTCGATAGCTTTTAATTGAGCGGGATTTGTTTGAATACATCTTTCTGAAATAATATGTTCTAAATAAAACAGTTCTTTCTTGAGTAATTCTGTTTTACCTGGTTAGTTTATGTTTGTTTAATTTTAAAAGTATACTTTTTAAATGTACCTTTAACTTATCCGAAAATATAATTTTATCATCCATATATACTAAGACATTAGGCAATTTACATTATGTTATGAGAATATTATGTTCATAGTGCATTGAAAGGTTGATGGAAGGAAGGAATTGTTCACATTAGAATTTTTCTATAACATTAATACTTTTATAAATAAAGTTATATTTCTTTTAGAACAAATTATGTACACTAAGATAATATTATAATTAACTAAGATAATTATAATATTTGTTTTAGAAAACAATATGCATATTAGATAATATTATAATTAACTAAAATAATTTAAATAGACCTTCTTTTGTTTTGAATAAATTACATAGTCTGCATCACTGTCCATACACTTTTTCTAGGGACTAGCAGTAATGGAATTAAACACAACCGAATTTCTCACAACTTTCATTGCTTGATTGGTACTGCATAAGCATTTTGTAATTAATAAAACATGGAGATGCTTCTCGTGCAGCATCCAAATAAATGGAAAACAACTGGCTCTGGACAGCTAAACAGAACAAGGTGTGGCTTGCCCATGAATCTCAAAGATGTTCTAAAAATTCAGGCAGCAAAAATTTGATTGGATACTTGAAGCAGATAAATGCACATGGTTTCATTTGATGGCCTTACATGCAGTTTTTTTGACCATCCAGAATGAATGTATTTATTAGCATGAGTTTTTGCATTAAAATGTTGGAATGTAGAGTATCCCAGAGACTCAACACAATAGGTTAGTTATTTTATCTAGGGGGAGAAAATTCAAGGTGCTGGAGCTATGGCAGCTCGCCAGTAAGGTTTAAAAGTGCTCAGTTGCTTTAAAGGCCTTAAGAGACCTTAAAATTTCAATATTTTTGTCTTATAATGGCTTGTCTCATAAAGATTTATAATGTTCATAGAAATTATCTGTTCTGTCTTCATAACCCACCATTGAATATAAATTAATTAACTGAAAAAAATACAAATGTTACTGTATCATTTCGCAATTCTTATCACTCATATTTTACATTCACCATCCAATTTAACTGTCAATCTACAAAATTGATTGAACCTAGCTGGCTGATTAAGTTTTTGGTGTATCAATAAACTTGTGATTAAATTAGAGAAAGAAATTACCAATAATATTTTAATTTTCAACTTATGCTTGAATTGTAAATTCCTGCCTCAAAAATACTGTCTAAAGACCTGGACAAATATAATTGAATTAAAATTTCATCGGATTTGTTTTAGGATGTCCCAGTGCAGTTTTAAAGTGAAAAACGTATTAAAATTACTCCCCAAAGGAAGATTGAAAGAAATATGTTTCTGTTTCCTTTACACGTGTCTGGTTTTGTCGGTATGCTTGCATCCTGAACTATATCTTTAATCCAGTTTAATAAAGGACAAATATAAATGAACGAGCTGACAGACACATTGCAGGTATTTTGCAGGTTCTCCTTCCTGAGGGGATTGCACGACTCCACTTCATACATTTGATGGGCAATACCCACGACTTTATTGTTGCATAGGAGTGGAGCACCTTCGTCTTCGGAGCACGTCCCAGTAGCCTTTTCATTTGAACAAATCACTCTTTGGTTTTCGTCTCTACTTGGTGTAAAATGCAGATGACTCGGATGTCAAAGTAAAAAATTGGTGATAAAAACTTACGTTGTATGACATCTACAACCATATGGCCCATGCCGTGCTGTCAGTTCTACAATTTTTAAATATGAAGAGGTCGTTTCATAGATTGCTTTAGATCCAAAACCAGCTACCATGCACTTTCTTTTATAACGGTCTGTACTCGGCCAGGCAACATCTTCCAACTTCATAAAATCAGAGCTTGTTGCTTGTGACTTTAGCTAAAAACAGCAGTATTTCTGTTTTATTATTACAGTAAATATATCATTCTCCTGGAGTTAGAAGATTTTTTCCTATTTTGGAGTACATTGCGCGTTAAACAAATATTCAATTAAAATAAATTATTAATAATATTTATTTTTTAACCTGGATCAAAGCTACATCATACATGGAGAATTGTGAAGTGTAGTTTGGATGCCTTTTTATAAGACTACCTTCAATAAGTTCACCACCAGGTTCCTCAAGATTTTGTCTTTTAATTTCTACCTAAAATGAAAATATTTTTTAAGACAAAATCTTGGCGATTAAAATTAATTCATTCAGGGGTCAATCAAAATTCTTTTAATGGTTTTGTCATTTTTTTAAATGAAAGTACAAAACAGACCTCTCAGTAAGTATTAACCTCACCAAAAGATCTGATGGTAGTTTTATATCGTTCATACAAAATGCAGACGTTAGCACCCACTCTTTGGTAAGAAGTCCGCCCATACAGTGCGTTCTTGCTTTGAATATTATCCTAATGGCAAATGGGAACTGATCCCCCGTTGTGCTGATGCCACCTGTTATTTTAACATCGTGCTTATGAAAAAAACACGGGAGTACACCTTTTTTTAATAGCAACAATCCAAATAAGAAATTAATCCAAACAGATGCCCAAGTCATTGTGTCTTAAAATTGTCGTTGTTTGTAAAATTTTGAAATTTAGAAAGGATTAAACATAATTTAGATAAATTTTGAAAGAAAGAGAAATTTTCAAAACAAAATATGTACATATGATATTTTTTATTTAAAGAAGGTAATTTTACATTTTAAAAAAATCAGAGATAAGGCTAATTTGGAAAAAACTCAGTTCCTCCACAATCCTTTGAGTAATATAACCCCTTCATCAGGGATTTGAAACTATTATTAATAATTGAAAAAAAACCCCTACAATATACAAGCATACATATATAAACAATTTCTCAAAATGTAACAAATAAATTAGTTTAATATATGTCCATAACCCATTTATAACTCATAACTACTATTAATAAATATATAAATATTGTATACAGTACTCAATTTAACATTCACAAAGTAAATAGACTTTAAGTACCATTAACAATCCCACACAACTTTAATAAGTTATAGATTCAAACAATAAAACTCAAGAATAAATAAACAGATGAATAAATAATTAAATAAATAGTTAAATATATTAATTTAATAATTACATTTTTGTATCAATTTATTTCTATATTTTAAAGCGTATATTACATAATTGTATAGTTTCTGCCAATTTTGTCCATTTAAATATTCGAGAAATGTATTCCAATTTAGTTTGAATGCATGTACAAAAGGTTTTCGGTAGTTCCTCAGAATTGGGCGGATACATAAAAAATGAAAGACAGTTTCATCTGCTAACATATTACAGAGAGAACACTTATCTTCTAGTGTATAAACAATTTAAATTCAGTATTTAACTCCTAGTGTTCATTATTTTAGATATAAAAAACCTTCGTGAACTGTCTTTTAAATACGTGTTTTGCCCTAAGTTGGTGTTGATAGTTTTGTATAAGGAATGAAAATGCGTGCGCTCTCTCCTCCAAATGAGGCCCTGTCTGTACTTTAGTTTTAAATCTTCTAGGAAGTTATATATATAACACATATAGACACAAGCAACAATCTACAAGCTCTGATTTTATGAAGTTGGAAGATGTTGCCTGGCCGAGTACAGACCGTTATAAAAGAAAGTGCATGGTAGCTGGTTTTGGATCTAAAGCAATCTATGAAACGACCTCTTCATATTTAAAAATTGTAGAACTGACAGCAAGGCATGGGCCATATGGTTGTAGATGTCATACAACGTAAGTTTTTATCACCAATTTTTTACTTTGACATCCGAGTCATCTGCATTTTACACCAAGTAGAGACGAAAACCAAAGAGTGATTTGTTCAAATGAAAAGGCTACTGGGACGTGCTCTGAAGACGAAGGTGCTCCACTCCTATGCAACAATAAAGTCGTGGGTATTGCCCATCAAATGTATGAAGTGGAGTCGTGCAATCCCCTCAGGAGGGAGAGCCTGAAAAATACCTGCAATATGTTTGTCAGCTCGTTCATGTATATTTGTCCTTTATTAAACTGGACTAAAGATATAGTTCAGGATGCAAGCATACCGTCAAAACCAGACACCTGTAAAGGAAACAGAAACATCAGTAGGTTTTCGTTGTTTGCCATACATTGATGAATTATTGCAAAAAGTTAGTAAAATTTTTAAACAAGAAGGTTTTAGAATAGCTTTTAGAAGTACGGGTTCACTTAAAAACATCCTCTCAAAACCTAAAGACAAAGTAGACAACTTGGCAAAAAGTGGGGTTTACCAACTCAGTTGTAATGATTGTGATATTAAATATATAGGACAAAGCGGTAGAGAAATAAAAACAAGAGTAAAAGAACACTTGCCTAAATCGAGCAAATTTTCGGAATTTAAGGACCATCTAAAAGAAACAAAACATAATTTCAATTCAAATTTAAATACAAGAGTGTTACATAGTTTCAACAAAGGGAAAGAACTAGATTGGTTTGAGAAATTTGAAATTAAAAAATGTAAAATTGAACATGGTGATAAATGCATTAATAATATAACAGATTTTGATCTACCTCCCATTTTAAATATGTACATAAATAATATCAAACATCCAAATAATTAATCTAATTATTTTAATTGTTATTATTTTTATAGTAATTTATAGTAATATTAAGTATTTATTATTCTAATATTTATTTGTGTTATAATTTCCGCGTTTCGCACGTTCAAATTGAGCGTCATTAAAAAAATCAGCTGATAATTGGAACGTCGCGTTGGCGGAGGTATCAGCGGTTCACTTTGGCAATTCATGTCGAGAGACGTGGTTGTAGAAGTCCTTCAACCTGATGATGAGCTAAAAGGCTCGAAATCCGGATCGTTGCAAAACAACTTACTGTGAGTAGGAACTATCCTTTTTAAAAAGTATTGAACAGAAACACTTTCTTTCAATCTTCCTTTGGGGAGTAATTTTAATAGTTTTTCACTTTAAAACAGCACTGGGACATCCTAAAATAAATCCAATGAAATTTTTAATCCAATTATTTTTGTCCAGGTGTTTAGACAGTATTTTTGAGGTAGGAATTTGTAATTATTATTACAAGCAATTTTTTGGGTTTATTGTTAAAATGGTTAAAAAAATAAAATGTGGTATAGAAATAATAAATCAACTAATCGTTATTATATTATTTCCAAACTCATTGTTATAGTATTCTTTTAGAAAACATCAATTTAAAACGAAGGATATACTATCACGAATTAATGATCGGTCTTGACGGTTTAGCATTCGCCAGGCGCTATCGCAGCCCTGTATTTTTCTGCTCAACTGGTTGATCAATGGTGAAATAGGTATCAATTTTTATTATTTATATAATAAATTAAATCATTTATAATAAATTAAAAATTTTACATAGAGTTTAAGCCGTTTAATTTTATATTAAATTTTTTACATGTAATCACTAATCATTTTAAACTTATTATAAGGACTTGAAGAATTTATTCATCAACCTGGTATATTGATCAATATATATGAGATCATTTTTATATGGAAGTGAAATTCATTTTTTTTCACTTTCATTTTTTTCAATTTCATTCCTTTACAAATTGCTTTCTACTAAATTCCCTCTTCCAAAATACACCTTAACATAACAATACTCCTGCTCTATTTTTTATATGTCTATATATGCATTTGTTGTCTATGCAAATCTATCTCTTTTGGATAAGATTAATCTCAATTTGTTTTTACAAGTGTAATGGGAATAGTGAACAGGGAAGGGTCTTTTGCTTACACATGCTTACAACACATTCCCCGAATCTGTACAGTGGCAACATCATCTGTCGCTGAATTAATGGTTTTGTGCAGGTGTAACTCCTCCATGCCCAAATAAAGCTCCCGGCGGTAGCTGATTGATAGGGGTTGCAATGGCCAAGGGTTGTCTCCGCTGGCGATAGCATGTGAAGATTCCATAAGCTGAGGCTATGACCAATAAAGAGTAGACTGGCATGGTCCATATGCTCGCTCATAGACGTTGAAATGTAGGAAGTCCTGATGATTGGCGAAACATGTTTCAGCTCCTCTAATCCCAATTTTTTAATGTTAATTGAGAATTTTGGCTGTTGATTCTTGCTGAATTTGAACTTAACGTTACTAATAATTTTTGGATGCCCTGAAGTTTTGGAAGAGTGGTACAATTCTCTGTTCCTGTAGACCAGGGGTGCTCAAACGGTCGATTGCGAGTGCTTTTTGAATAGATCTCGAGAAGAAAAAAAATTTTAATAAGTAGGTAGGTAACTAAACTACAAAAATGTATTACGTAATAAAATAACACTGCTTGCGGCAAAAGGTGACTTTATCAAAGGAACGCGCGGCACTTGTCAAAGAAAAGCCGCGTTGTTTCTAGACTAGTAGACAGTACAGTCTAGTCTAGAAACAACGAGGTGATGACACTCAGATTTTGANGTAGTCTAAAAATATTGAGGTAGATCGCCAGCAGTTCAAGTTTGAGCACCCCTGCTGTAGACCACTTTACTGCTGTTGATGTTCAGTAAAAATAGTGACTTTGATTGTTTAGACTATTTCGTTGATGGGCAGAGATTGGAAGAGGTTGATACTATCTCCGACCTTGGTGTCGTTTTCAGCAGAAAGGGTGATTTCAGTGATCATATCAAACAGATTCGAGGTAAGGCTCAACGCAATCTTGGCTTTATTACTTGGTTTTCTAGAGATTTTAAAAACATCTTGGCAGTTAAAATATTATATCAATCCCTCGTTCGTAGCCATCTGGAATATGCAAGTGTCGTGTGGTCCCCTTACTATGTTGGTGAGATTAGCGACTTGGAAAAAGTACAAAAGAAAGCAACCAGGATAATGGCCTTCAGATTTGGTCTTGCACACCTGAATTATTTGGAAAGACTGAACTGGCATGGTCTTGAATCGCTTAGCTCCCGCCATATTTCTGCCGATCTCATTTGGGGTTGAAAATTGTGGAATGGGGCCACTGATATCCTGAACTTACATTTATCGCTATGTATGCCTCAGCGACCACTTAGGAACCATAATTTGTTCTTTGTTCCACACTACAAAACAGAATATGGACTAAATTCACCCCTACCGAGGATAATGAGATTGCTGAATTATTATTCTAATGAAATAGATGTATTTCACGATTCGTTGAATTCAGATAAAGTTAAATTAAAATGTTTACTTGCCTTGAATCATTAAGCCTTGTGTTTTTGTTATTATTGCTTAATTGTTCATTTGTTCTTTTTGTTATTATGTGCCTTTTTTTGACTACTCCTCTTGTAGATTCTTTCTGTTGTAGTTATAATAAATAAATAAAAATACTCCTTTTAGTCGTTTTACTGTAGTCCCATCTTGGCGGGTTACAGTAATAGGTTCTTCATTAGGAAATACAGCCAAATACTAGTTGAGCTCAGGTATCCAAGCCAGTGATTGTCGGTTACGAGTTCTGTGCATGAACAGTTTGATGGATCACCAGAAAGAAGTATGGCCTTGTAGCACAGGTTGTCCTTATGGCTGATTTGTTCGTATGAGTATAGATATTTCAATTTACTTTGTTTACAATTATTATTTAGACTTATATCTATATTATGAATATGCATTTTGGGTTGAAGAAAATAGTTAACATTACGTACAATAGTAATGAATTTAGATTCATGTTGTCTAAGTACTGATAGTAATTTGTAAAGATTATAATCATTGTTAGTGACCAAAGGCGTAATAAAAATATTATTTGTTCATAATGAACTTCGCAATTAACTTTTATTAAATCTTCAAATTCTAATATATTTTCTAATTTTGGTTCAAACGGTAATTTATTATTATAAAATTTTGCGGTTTCCTGAATTTCAGTTAATAATTCTTGAGAAGATATGATGGTGAAGTTTTTGTAGCTTGCAAAATATTATGGAGTTTTCTAAATCTTGTACAACATTCAGCAACATTTGATACATAAGTTGTAATTGAATAGTAAAACCTCTTAGTTTTTCTAGCTCGACAAAATCACTTAACTTGTCGTTTAATGCTAAAATTTTAATTTTTAATTCGATAGAGTTTTCATTTATTGTTGACAATGTTTTATTAAATTCCTCTATAATTTTTACATTAAATGAGTAGTGCGATTCTATCTGATTCTTAATGTTTTCTTGGTGTTTTCGTAAATGTTCTAACTTTTCACCGTCGAAAGCATCAAGATTACCAGTTAACATCTTTAAAATAGATCCTACACCATTAAATAAACCTCTTTTTATTCTAGCATTATTCTTATTTTCTACAAAAACTATTTCTAGCTTTTCTGCAATTGCATTTTTAATATGATTAATTAATTTTAAAGTATTTACAGTATGTCTTGTTTTACTACTATTATCAGTTACATAATCTACATTTTTACTATTTGACAAAATATTATTAGAGTAGACAACCTTAGATTTAAGGTTATAAAATTCTTCTAAATAATCTAATTGATTAAATAACTCTCTTAAACTAAAATAATGAATTAAAGTATGTTATGAAATTTCCAACTTTGCCAATCCAAAGTTTACAGGAATTATGCCAATGCCCTTTGTAATATCAACTATGTTGATTCCTCTAGTTGTGGTCTATATATAAATTCATTTTTTTATTTGCTTATAACTTTATTCAATATGCTCGATTTAGAATATTACAATATATATAAGTTATGTGAAATTATTGAATAATTGAAGTTATATATTTAACTTTATATATTCTAAATATATTAAAGACATTATATATATATAAAGTTATAAGCAAATAAAAAATAAAAACACATATATTCCATATTATATAATAAAAAAAGGCCAAGACATACAAACTGAACATAGATAGTTTTTAAAACCACCTTTTGAATATTATATACTTTGATTGAAAAAAGGGTATAATTAAAGTTTGCTCTTTAAAAAAACAGAGCTAAATATTTTGTTAGAATATAAACTAACACTAATGGCATTGTCCTAAAATTAAACCAGCTCTTGAAAAAATTTATCTACTATTCAAATAAAAGAAAAGTTGTATTAAAAAAAAGTTAGTTCCCTTGATTTTTGTTTACAGTTAAAAACAAAACAAGCAATGGGTTTTACAGTAAAAAATAATTTGATGTCATATGTTTAAAAATGGTCTGAAAGTGAAAAGAAAATAGTTTAAAAATAAAAATTCCAAATTTTGTTTCGCCTATAAAATTTAGTTTCAAACGAAAAAAATTGTTGCAAATTTTCAATGATCTCTCATCACAAACTTTTAATTTAAGAAAAAATGAATATACATTTGCTCCTATCCCTTCTCATGTGTATGCTCGTCAGATCAATGAAGGTGTCTAGTAAATTCCGCCACGATCTGAAAATAACAAACGGAGTGCCAGCAGATAACCTGTACCAATTCGTCGCTAGGATAGTGTTCAAGCGAGGCACGCTCTGTACTGGCAGCATTATAAGTAAACTGTACACGCTAACGGCAGCGCATTGCCTCTTGAATCCGAATGACAAATTTATTCCAGCTGCACAAGTATTGGTAAGATTTTATCATTAATAGGCCATAATAGGGACACATTAAACAAAACGATTGACATGAATCTGTAAAACACAGGTACAGTACAAGTTATTAAAATTTGACTTAGAAGCTCCCGAAGAGAATTTGAGTCCTGGAAAGGAATTTGTCATTCATCCAAATTTCATACCACATCAACCTTCAAATTATGATTTTGCTTTGATTAAGGTAATATGTATATAGCATACCATATTTATAAAAACTGTAGAAAACACATTTTACTATTGCTAACTTTTCATTAAACTTTGATTTTAGATAACGATAATATATATATAAATAAATAAATATTTTTTTAAGCTAAAGAAATAATTATTTCAAAATATCTCGACTTGTCTGACAAACCATGGCCCCAAGATGAGCAGATGTATAAACGAAAATGTATCACCGTAGGGTGGGGAAGTATAGCATCAGGTCGTACTGTTTCGAACCAGCTACTTATGGTAAATGTTACAGCAAGACATGGTTATCTGGGATGTAAATGCTTTTTTAGGTGATTACTAATTTTTCATCAACACTTTTGTATTTATCGTTTTAATTCAGTGATGCTTGGAAAGAGAAAGCTTTTGGTTTTTTAATGAAAGTACTTTAGAAAAATAATTTATTTTATAATTCACATCATGAGCCTAGTTGAGTAGAAAATTTATTTAAATGTTTTGAGGTCTGCGTGGTGATGAACGTGTAGTTTGGTCATCTCAGATTGTTTGTCTTCCTATCTTTGTTTTAGTGTGTCAGATGCACAGACCCCACCACTGAAATGGTGAGAAGCTGAAACAACATCGACAACTACTACAGCAAGGATAGGCTGATAAAAACACAAAAAAGGGCAAATGTGCATTAAGTACTTTGCCTTAGCATAGTCCATATTTTGCATGATCTGCTACTTTTCACTGGCGAAGAGCTCCTGTAAGCTTAACGCTTTTTACCAGATCCCAAAGCTTTTTCAAGAACTCCGTGTGTATGCTCCACGCCCAGTTTTACAGTCCTAAGATTGTCAAATATAAAACACACCCTTCTTAACTTGTAAATTTAAACCTGCTGTGAAAATTATTTTTTTATTGTCAGGCTTGTATTTTAGTAAAACCAACTTCTTTTATTTTTGTAGTTATTGTATATAAAATTTATTTAGATCAAAATGTTAATGTTTGTATTTAATCCTGGTAATTCTGTGCACTTGTAGTAATGAATATCTTCGTTTGATATGTACCAATGAGAAGGAATCTGGCCTGTGCGAAGAAGATTTAGGAGCGCCTCTCATTTGCGACAACAAGGGAGTTGGCATTGGCCACTGGTTTTTGCAAGTTCAATCGTGCAATCCGTTGAGACTATCTGAAGTTAACAAAACTTGCGCCAACACAATCAGTGTGTACATGTATATCTGTCCTGTGTTGAATTGGCTACACAAGCATGTGGCTCATGTTCCCCTGGAGCCAGATACTTGTAGAGGACATAGAACTGCGACACAGTCACCACTTATTTTCTTCTTCTTTCTGGCCTACACGATCACTGCGAATATTAAAAGCCAAACGTTTAACTTTTTATGAGAAATAAATATTGAAATCTGGTAATCGTTTGGATGTTTTTATTTGTTGAAATTTGAGTGGTCTGTAATTTGTTGTGGGTTTGCCAAACATAAAAATTACATTTAAAAAAAATTATGGTAAATATTTTCTTTAACGTTAATGTTAATGCTAATTAGTAACATTTATAATACCTGAAGGTGTGCCGCAAAAACATTTCAACTTCTGGTAACATACAGACCGGTTTTCTTAAGTTTTTATACATAAAAATCAGCTAATATTTCATACAGATGTTTTATTATATATAAAAAAATCTGTTGAATATAGAGAAGTTAAAACTTCTCCAAATTTACTAAAATGAACTGAAGTATAAAATTAATATTTTCATTTCCCCCCCTCCAATTTCTAGAATTATTCTTGATGAATTCATCCCTTTATTGATTGCATTTTGAAAATTGGTACAGCATTCAAGAAAGCACTTTCGTACCTTGCTCATACTAATAAATTTAAAATAATACCAACCTAAATACAAAATATACAATTTTTCTTTATCTAACACCAAAAATATATTTTAAGCAGTTTCGTATGCGAATGAAATTAATTTTCAAATTTAAAATACAATAAACATGTATTTGAAAGTGGTGGTGATGTCTTTGTTTGGCGATCAACATATTTTTAAATAGTACATACAAAATTATTTTATCTATTAATTAAGGTTTTTCATTGAGATAAAAAAGTCAGTGTCAAGAATGGAATTCGAACCCACGACCTTCGGCTAAATACGCCGCTGCTCTACCACTTGAGCAATCGTGACTTCGATCCACTCAGACAATAACTTCCCATCTCAACCCCCACCTTTTGAATTTTCCCTCCTTTGTGGCATTTTAATTAATTGAAAGATATTAATTGGTCAAGCGGACCACGAAAACTAGTGAATTTATCTATTAAATTGCTCTTATAACAATATATTTATTTATTTGTACAAGGTTTTAATATCTGGAATACAAAACTTCTTATAAGGATTTTTTTAAATTTTTTAACAATATTTTTAATTTATTGTTATTTTGTGTCTCGAGCAGAAGCTGTACGCGACTGGAGTGTTTCTAGATGTTTCTCAGGCCTTCGACAAAGTGGCATGAGAGATTATTATACAAATAATTTTTTTTTACCCCAGGCCTATTATCTGATTATACAATTATACCTTAAAGAGAGATTTTTCGCAGTAAACCAGGGTACGGAGACTTCTGTGATGGAAGAAGTGCTTGCAGGTATGCCACAAGGGTCAATACTTGCTCCGCTGTTGTATACAACTTTTACTTCTGATATGCCCACAAATGAGAATCCAATTACCGCCACATACGCAGATGACACCGCCATATTAACAAGCCATCCCTCTTCTACACAAGCTTCACTCATGTTACAAAACCACAATTGAAAAATGGAGCAATCTTTGGAAAATAAAGTTTAATTACTCAAAGTCACAACATCACTCCGTCGTGAGACTTGTCGTAGCGTATAATGAATCTGTTGCTCAATTTAGGACCTACATTTGATAGAAGACAACCTCGGAATCCACCCACAAGATTAAAAAAACAGACACTGAACAAACGATTAAAAATGCTTTATTACCTACTCAACCAACAATCAAAATTACCATTAAAACCAAAACTTTCGATATACACATACCTACTCAAACCTATTTTGATGTGCCAAGTTTATTGATCGGCCAAATATTCCAATATTCAAAGATTACAAAGTTTTCAATCCAAAATTTTAAGACTAATTGTTTCTGCCCCTTTTTAAATAAACAATGATGCACTTCACAGAGATCTTCAAATGCCAACAGTTTTTTCATCCATCAAAACATATTACTGACGTTTTCATAGTAAATTACAAAATCACCCTAACACACAAATACGATTACTCCACTCCTCACAATTATCACGTAAACGTCTGAAAAGAAAATGGATAAGAGACCTCTTAAATGATTAATATCATTTCATTAATCCAGAGTGGCTGTCAATGGGTAGCTTTCTCCATAACGGCCGTAATGCCATAAACACAAATTACCCAATCTGCTGGTTATATATAGTACATGTACAGTTGTACATAAAAATAAATGAAGTCAAAAAAAAATTTATTGTCATAAAAAATAAAATAATATTACAACCATAAACATCGTAGAAAGTAAAAGGTGTTATTTAATATTTCTTTCATATTATGTGGATTGAATTTTTTTTTCAGATTTAAAAAACAATTTATCAAATAAAATATCAGTAAATAAGTAATAAAAATGAAGTACATACTTATATATACAATGGGATAATAAAATCGTATTTATTATTATTCCGATAATTAATAAAATCTTTTGGTCATGTTGACTAGATTTTCTCAGTACTGTCAAATTCTTCACATAGATTTTCACAAAATACAAATACAATTAGAAATAAAATAATTTTAATCATTTGTTGCCGTCTTAATTATATTTTCTGATTTAAATATAAAAACTGAGATTTGTTTTCTATATTAAATTTTTTTGTGAGTTCACATGCAGTATACCCATGTTTCTTTTACAAAAGGAATGGATATTTGAGAAGGTCCGATTCTTCTGGGCCGATGTGTTTGTCCAACTTGGTATGAAGCCTAATCTATAGTTCCTCATAACAATTTTTATTTGCACATTCATCTGCAGGGTTGGTGATTGGTTTTCTTCTTTCTTCCTAGTACAGGTTTCTCCTTTCCTTCGGTTCGGAAGAAATTATTTCTCTTCTTTTCCAAATTCCTCCTCTTGATTCGGACCTAGATGTTGCTTGACTTTCGGCTTTGCTTTCTTCCCTCGTTTGGCTGTGACGCCTTCTGTACTCTTTATCCGAGTGGGAAACAATGGACGTCCCAGATGAAGATCCGCTCAATCTCAGCATACGCTCAATATCAGCCGTTTTTGACCTAAGGACTGCTCCTCCGATTGAAGAAATAGATGTGGGTATCGGTGCATTGCTACTCATTGAGGAAGAACTCGCCGATTTCGATATCCTATCTACAGACAGCAACCTGCTATATGATGCTATGTGTCTTCCTGTCTGCACATCACTTCTTGTGTAGCCAGGATGAACCTAATCCAAATAATAAATTAAAAATACATCATTTAAAATTGATAAACCACTCGTAGCCTGGTGTACCTGAGGTGTAGTACAAATTGTAACTTTCAGTGCTTCTTGCCGAGAAGTCGGGAAACTCAATGAGCCTAGAGTTGGTTCTGTTTCTGGTGAAGTGGAACCCCATGAAGAAGTTACAGAAGGTGGTCGTGTCGGTGGAGAAAAAGATCCGATGCCACTCTCAGATGTATTTCCTCCACCACATTTCATTAAGCCTGATAAGTTTAAAAAAGTTACGTACTGTAGCTATAATTTTAAGAAACAATTAATTATTAAAATTTATTTACCTAAGGTGATTTGTTGCCTTTCATTATCCTCAATATACGGTATGTCATCAAGATTCAATGAAAAGGATGTTACAGCAGGTACAGGGATTTTCAGACTTGCCGTGATCACACCATCGCTCTAAAATCACACAAGAATAAATTATCGCTGTCATATTGCAGAAATACTATATTATTTACATGATTGTCTTGTGGGCTTAAATGGTCAGAGTCGCTGGATGAAATTCGTTTCTCGTCTGAAGCCCTCCTGGAAGAGCTCGCTGATTCACCACCAGAACCCGAGGGCACAGATCTTTTTCTAATAACTATTTCATCCCTCCTCTTTTTCGATGTCCTCTCTCTTCCCCTTTCTAATTTCCTAATATTTTAAAATGAAATATTTAAAGAAATATATAAACATTTGTTAGAAATTAGAGTACCTCGGCCTCATAGCAACATCAGGTCCACCTGTTGCCGCCATCTCATGAGTGCATGATTCCCTACTCCAATACTTCCTTTCCTCATCTAAATTGCTATCCACATTGCTATCTTCTTGCCTGTAAATAATTAGAAAATATTGTAATTTCTTAAAGCAAATGGGACATAAAGTAAATATCCTTACTCGTACAAACTAATATCTTTTTTCCTCATTATTTGGTCCAGCAGTTCTGGGTGTGAATCCATCATATGGACATATACTTCATCCAACAGTTCAGCTGAAACCTAAGCAAAAGTGAATGTTCTCTAAATGTAGGATAATATAATGCTGAAATAAAATTTGATAAATAAATAGAGCTTAAAACATTAAATTCAGATCTCATTATACTAATCAATCTATAAAAATCGATGTTTAAATTATTTAATTGTCAAAATAAACTTTAACTATTTTAAAGTATAATCAACTATTTTAAAATGTGTAATAAATCATTAACTTTTTAAAATTGTGTAATAAATATCAACTATTTAAAAGCATGTAATAAGCATCAACTAATTGAAAATGTGGAATTGTCATAAACTATTATAAAGTAAGTAATACACATAAACTATTTTAAAGTATAATAAACTATTTTAAAATGTGTAATAAAACATTAACTTTTTTAAATTGTGTAATAAATATCAACTATTTAAAAGCATGTAATAAACATCAACTAATTGAAAATATGGAATTGTCATAAACTATTAAGTAAGTAATAAACATAAACTATTTTAAAATGTGTAATAAACAAACTATTTTAAAGTGAGAAACATAAACTATTTTAAGTGTGTAATTAACTTTTTAAATGGTGTAATAAACAAAAATTATTTTAAAATAAGTATGTAATAAATATGAACTATTTTAAAGTGGGTAATAAACATCAAATATTTGTTGTTGAGTAGGGCTGTTATAAAATTAGTGTCATTAATAACTACCTGGTACAATGATCTATAGTTATCAATGAGGCAGCGAATAACATTTATTGAATCACTTCGCTCTTCCATCCTTTCTTGGCTCATCTCCTCTTTCGCCGGCCTTTTGGTACAAGGATGCAGGATGTTGGGGGCGAAGAGAGTTGCTAAATTATTGCTGTCCATTTTGTTCCCTGCAATCCACTCACCTACAAAAAAAGATGTTATAATAAAACAAAAAAATCCTGTAAAACTAAAAATACACCGATGGATCACCTTCGTTGTTCCTGTGGTCATCACAATTCCCAGCAACTAATGCTAGGAATGAAAGCAAAGAATACAACGTGTCTCTATTTGCAACTGGAAGGAGTTGAACTAAATGTTGCAATGCTTCATGTTGTAATCTACGATTCCTTATTCCTTAAAATGTCAGTAATATTAATAAATTCCCAATTACATATAGATTTTTTTTTTAAAATAAATTACTTTGTGTTTGGATGAAGGCTGCGTAGAGGTCCTTACAGAGCAGTGGGTCTGGCAGATCTCTGAAGTACTCCTTCAGAAGGGTGGCAACATCATGGGGGCTCATTTCATTTTCGAGGTTCATCTCTTTCCCACAGTCGAAGTCCTCCCTCAGCTGTATTCATATTTGGGAAAAAAAAAATTTTTAAATGTTCGCACAACTTCACCCAGACTGGAGACATGCTAAGAATTACCTGCCTCACTCGTTTTTTTGAGCTCGACACCCTAAAAATTCCCAGGGTGTTGAGCCCCCGCAATGCTAAGTGGTTAAGACACGATGACACTAGGTAAGGAACCCTCGGGGCATCACTACCGGAACAAATGTTGTTCGCAGAACCACATGATATGTTGTCTAGACCAGGCATACTTAAAGTTGGACATATCAGGCTCTCACATGAACCTCTCTGAAAAAGACGTAATCATATCATACTAACAGTTTACAATATTTAATCAACATAATGGTTGGTAATATACAATAGTTAAATAATGGCTGAAATTATACATACTCATAAAATTATAAATACTCACAGAGCAAGATATCGTAGTGTAGCATAGTAAATATGTAGTATGTAGAATATATGTATCTTTCTCTCTCTCTCTCTCTCTCTCTCTCTCTATATATATATATATATATATATATANTATAATAAAATATTTGGTTGATTTCTGCTAAGTATAACTTTTTTAAGACAAACCCAACACTGACAATGGTAAATGCCAAAATGCATCTGACAAACCAAACCAGCAAGGATAGGCATTATGGTTGGGCTTGCCTAAACTGCAAATCTATTATTGTAAAAAAATACATTATACTGCAGATAAACCAAATTGCACACACCACACACACAATATAATCTTACTATTATTAGCAATATTTGCAATAAATCGTATAAGTTTTCAATCACCTTTACGTAATGCTATTTCATTATAAAAGGATTAATAATTTTTCTGGAAATTTAAACGCAAAATTGCATATTTTAATTTTACATTTGATACTGAATTTATTGAAATAACGAATTTTCCTCCTAAAAAGTCTTGTCCTCTTAATGGGGCGCTATGACTACCATCCCCACTAATGTGGGGGTGAAGAGAGTGGCAAATGCTAGGGAGGTTCGGCAACGGGTCACCCTTGCTGTTCAACGTTGTAATCGACCCCCTAATCTCTGACCTGCAGTCGTCAGCAGGTCCTGGACGCGACGGCCCCGTTGGAGTGTTTGCATTTGCTGACGACCTTACATTAATATGCAGCACTCCCGACGGGGCACAACAACTCCTTGATGGGGCCTCCTCGAACTTCTCGAGATTGCGTGTTGAATCTGGACAAGTCTTTCTGCCTCAATATGAGGCGGAAGGGCGGGACCTGGTACGCGAACGACCCGCGCCTTAACATCAGCGGAGTGGGGATTCGCCACATTCCCGCAGGTTGGTCGTTCAGGTATCTTGGTCTGAGATTTACCCCCGGGACGGGTCTGGAAAACGTCGCCGAGCTCGAGGAGCTAGAAGGGCTGCTTGGCCGGGTCTCGAGGCTGAGTCTCAAGCCTCGGCAGAAGATGGACCTGGTCAAGCGGTATATGATACCGAGGAGGCTCTACCGTCTGGTGATAGATACCCCGTCTTTCACCACGCTGCGTAAGCTCGATGGGGTCATTCGGCATTGGGTGAAGGAGAATTTTCATCTCCTTCAGTCCACTCCGAATGGCCTCATATATGCCAGCAGCAAAGACGGCGGACTGGGGTTCCCTCGGCTGGCGCATGCGGTCCCTGTGGCGCATCTGCGGGCCGGCCTGCCCTTGGGGCCTAGGGGGCAACCGGTCACGGGGTGAAGACCTTTGCCGGTGACGCCGTGGGCAATCGTGGCTTTCCTTGATCCGTCAGGAGTCCCGATTTATACATGCCCTCCGCATGACGACCAATTCGATGGGAACTAGGGAGGCATTGAGGAGGGTGGCCTCGAGTATGACGGCCGAATGTAGGAGATGTGGGGCCGGTACGGAGACGCTCTCCCCTGTCCTTTCCTCATGTCCTGAGAATTACTCAAAGATAGTAAGTGCCTCCAGGTCCTCGTCGCCGGTCGACCTCAAGGCTACCAGGTCACTATCGAAGCTCCCCACCTGATGGGACGAGACTCCGGCCGGACGTCGTCGCGATCGACGAGGATGGGGTTATAGTCCTAGACCTCCCGGTCGCATATGAGACGCGGTAGCGGACCTCAAGGGTCGGAAGTACGGGGTTTTGAGGGAAGCCTTCAAGGAGCTGCATCGGAAGAGCTATTTTTTGGCGGCCGGTGTAGTAGTGGGGGCGAGAGGAAAAATCAGGCTCAAGGACCTCGGCATGAAAAATCTGCCGAGGTTGCTCCTCACCCTCTCCCTTACTGCCTTGAGGTCCTCGCTGTCCATGGCCTGCGGCCATATGGATGGGGAGCGTAGCTTTTTAGCGACCCATCCAGCGACTCCAGCTGTCGAGCAACACCCACCGGAAGCGACGGACCTGGCATAGTCTGCGGGACACTCGATTGGACCTGGGGTGCGGGCGAAGTTGGGAAGTAGGTGCCCGCACTACAGGATACAACCGGCAAAGAGCTTAATTTTTATTTAATCAGGAAAAAAATACATTATACTGCAGATAAACCAAATTACACACCCACACCCACCCACCCACACACACACACACACACATACACACAATATACACTTACAATAATTAGCAATATTAGCAATAAATCGTCTAAGTTTTCAATCACCTTTACGTATGCTATTTCATTATTAAAGGATTAATCATTTTTCTGGAAATTTAAGCACAAAAGTGCATATTTTAATTTTACATTTGATACTGAATTTATTGAAATAACGAATTTCCTCAACCAGTTGAAAACAATAAAACTTGATTACTGATGTATATTTAAAAAAATCTATTTATATTATTCAGAAAAGATGGAGACAAATTTAATCTTTAATTGCCTAAGTAATTAACATTGCCGTAGTATTAGGAAAAATAGTGAGAATTACGTAAAATGTATTTCCCCCACTATGTGGCCATGTAACACCTAAAAATAAATTAATCTCATTCTTATAAACTGTCCATTTTTTTAAATAACTAGTTGAACAGTAGTGATAATGAGCAACGCTGCTTTTCCGAATTCCATGCATCTGAAGGGCCAACAAAGTTTCTGTGCAGGTAACCACAAAGTGACTTTTGGTCTCTGGAAGGAAGGGGACACTACTATAAATAATGCGAGTCGTATATTCAAAATAGTTGCACTCCCACATTCTCGCCTATTTCTGTAGCCTGTTTAACCCACATTGTCTGGTCCTCGTAGTCTTATGCCACTTATCCCTTCCAAATTGATCATTGTCAACATGACTTAATTTTTAAATTGCGATCGATTGTTGTGAGATCGATTTGTATTGGATGAGCAGAGGAAGAGTAAAATGTATCATGTGAAAATGTATGTTCTTTTAGTACATAGTAACACGCTGTAACTTTAATAATTTGTATAGAAATACATAAAACAATGCCAGTAAATATGAATAATTGATTCAAATTCAATTCATAAAATTGTAGTAAATATATTTCCAATGGATATTTTAAAGTTTAAAAATATTTATGTTTATTTGTGGTTAAATAAAATTAACCTTTTAACTTAGTGATTGGTGGACCAGATCTAGTGGTTGTTAACTTATTTATCCAAAATTGTCAGCTTTTGATGCTATATTTTGCTTACACCAGCTCTTTATCTATCATTTACTCTCTCGTTCTACTCTTTCTCTTCCTCTTGTTTCTTTTTTTCTATACTTTGTATATCTATCCCTCAATCTATCTATATTTAGTTATATCCCACATTTAATTATGCCTATCTATTTATACTCTCTCTCTCTCTCTCTCTCACTCTCTCTCTCTCTCTCTCTCTCTTTCTCTCTCTCTCTTTCTTTATTTATTTTTCCCCCTTTTTATTTCTTTACATCTATCTCTTATTTTTTTTACTTTGAATTTCATTTTTTCTTCGTATTTCGCCCTTATGCTTTAATGTATATATCTGAAACTATCTGTCTCTCTCCAAGATTCCGAAAATAATCGGGTCGAATTAGCCGGTGTAAAGGATTACATTCCAAACGGGCGAACAATGAACTCATTTCAAGTAAACACTACCGCCCCCCTTCTGAGTGCTCTGGATGGACACTAGTACACTACTACACTCCCAGCAGAGTTGGAAAATCAGTACTTACAAGTACAAAGTACGAGTACAGTACTTGAAAAATAGTTGCAAGTACAATTACAAATACTGTACTTGGAATTGAAATAGAGTGAATAAGTTCAAGTACAAGTACATATAATTGAAATTACAAGTACAAGTCTAAGTACTTGTACATGTTTACTCAGGGTGCAATTACATACACTTCAGGACTTGTACTTGTTAAGGTCAATTACTCAAGTACTTGTACTTGTGGTCAGTGATTGTACTTTAAGTACAACGAGTACTTTCTTTTTTTGGAACTTTACCAGTGTAATGGATTTGTAGATACTGCGCAAAAACTGTTTTTACGGGTTTTTTGACTAAATTAGTCATATTTTGTTTGGATTATTTTGAAATACATAAACTGCCCGCTGTTAAACTCGTACTTAGCAATCTGTGAATTTAATAGCTTTAATTTGAATTCGCATTCACATTTTGAACCGACCGGGTGGAAATACAGTAGCAATGAAGACATATATTGAGATGATTCTATATAATTACAACATTATAGAAACACAATACCATAAAACCATATCAACTCCACTTGGTCTTAATATTTATAAAAATAAAAAAAACCGTAAGAAAGTAAATATTGGAGACGAGGGAATCGTCTGAAATTTTTATCTTTGAATATTTTACTAATGATATTTGTGTGTGTGTATTTGTTTATGTACACGAATATCTTAACGTAAGAGTTCGAGTTTTATTTCATTTGTCTCTTTTAATATATAGGATTTGATTATTTATTACTAGTGTATTTAAAGAATGTTTAAACTTATGATGTTTTTAATCTATAATATAATTTTAGTTCTAAACTAGAAAACCATCTCAATGAGATTTCTTAAGACTTTAAATGTATAAGACTCATACATTGATCTTTTATATTTGTTAAGGGAATAGGTAGTAATTGTAAAAATTTATACAATGTCTGTATAAATATTTGGTATGAGATTACTTAATTATAGCGACATCGGTAAAGGCAATTTGAATAGGAAAGGATTGATTGTGAGTGAGAAAAGAATAAAATTGAATGAATAAAGCTATACGGTAAAATTGTTTAAAAACATTGGTTGGGAAAAATTATTATAAGTGTAATTCAAATTGAGGTAATAATATTGCGATATTAATAATTTACAATGACAACAGTTTCAACTACAACTACTTGTAAGGAAG